TACAGTTGTAACTCTTTATTGTCATGCTGGACATAACTTAGCGAGATGTAGGCTACCTGCAGAGGACAATGTTTAAAATTGTTAACCTTACTTGTTTTAAATGAAAAAGAAGAGAAAATGTTAATAACAGAGTTATGTTTCATGTTTGCCAGGAAAATAAGGCAATATTTTTTTTTTGGTCTCAATATAAAATCTCTTTGAATCCGTTTACAGTTTATTAATAACAATTGGAATAATACGTCTAATTTTTTTGTTTTCCCATTTCTCCCTTTTCAACACAGGGTTTCAGTGTTGACTTGAGCCGTACCTATATGGCGTGTGTGAGTGGAGAATTTTGCCAGGCACAGCACCTCACCTCATTGGAGAAGTGAATCGGCCGCCCCCCAAGGGACTACGCTACCCAGAAACCCCCCTGACTGCCAGCACACTAGAAACTGCAGACTTCTCCAAAAGCCTCCTGGGAAATTGCGTAGTCCTTGGCCAGACTGCCCTGCCCTGCCCCCAACCAATACGAAAAAGCTTTGCTCTCCACTTTCTCCTCAAACAGCCAATCACACACAGCTCTCCTGAATGGGGTAAACTGATTGGATGACTCTTGGATAGTAATTCCATCCTTGTTTTTTCTTTCTTTTTTAACCTTTTGTATTAATTCATTTTTTTTTTACACCCCGGAGTACTGTGGACTAGTTTATCCCTTTTTTGTCCTCCCTCTGTGTACATCATCCTATAGTTGTCCTTGTGATCCATCTCTCTCCACATTTTTATTTATTCTTTCCATTTCTCGAACACATAAAAGTCGTTGCAGTCTTTGCTGACCTCTGAGCCAAAAGTCTCTTTTGTTTTGTAAGAGTATTGTATTGTAATTGTTTTTTAAGCCGTCTCGCCAACATGAACCGCCCCGCAGCAGTTGAGATTGCCTATGAGTGCATGAGGTTCCTCATCACCCACAATCCTACCAATGCCACACTCAACAAGTTCACCGAGGTGCACCTTCATTTCTTTATTCTGATATTTTCGTCCATTTGGGAGGACTTGAGAATAAAGTATTGTTTGGTTTTAATGTTTATCAGGAGCTGAAAAAGTTTGAGGTGAACACATTGGTGAGAGTATGTGATGCCACCTACGATAAGGCTCCAGTCGAAAAAGAGGGGATCCAAGTCCTGGTACGAACACAATGCACACAATTACACACGATTAGTGGCAGCTTGGCCTCCTGTTAGCTCTTCTCTGCTAACTTGGGTCATCTCTCTCCTCCTGTAGGACTGGCCTTTCGATGATGGTGCACCTCCTCCTACCCAGATTGTGGACGACTGGCTAAAGCTGCTGAACACCAAGTTTCGAGATGAGCCTGGCTGCTGCATCGCTGTGCATTGTGTGGCAGGGCTTGGCCGGTGAGTCACTTTTTTTTTTTTTTTTATTTCAAGAAATGTGACAACAAATGATCTGCCTGACTCCTTTGTCTTAGCCTTCATTTTGTGTAGTTTTTTGTTTAGGTAATTATTACTTCCATCCACTGCTGGTCAGATTGGCTTTGCTCCAGTCAACACTCTCCTCAGCCCTTAACTGTACTGTACTCACAAACAGCCATAAACACCAGAGTCTTCCTTGGGACGAGTCGCTCTAGTCTGACAGATGTGGGCACGCACACACTGACAGTATTTCCAATTGTCCGTTCTGTGTGTGTCTCACTTGGTCTGTCTCCTGAGAATAATGTGTGAGAGTTGTAAACAAAATGCTCAGTCAACACCAAGTCTGTACGAGGTTATTACAATTTATTTATTTTTACCCACCCTATCTCTTCTTGTGATAACGGAGAAGGTTGTCTTACCTAAACTTATCAGAGTTGTGTGTGAGGCCCAGGGTGTGACCACTGTGCCACAGCGGTGCAACAATGAACTTGTGCACCCCTGCTGGTTTCCCAGGCCTGTTTCCCAGTTTAAAGCAGCCCCTCTGCACCTCCTCCCTCCCTTTACAGTATTACTATGGAACCTTGAGAAACCTGGCCTTATATCTTGTCTTCTCTTTCTCCCTTTGCTCTGGTTCTTTTACCGTCTCCTCGGTCCTGGTTTGACTGGACTTCCGTACCTTTTAGAGCTCCAGTCTTGGTGGCTTTAGCCCTCATTGAGTGTGGAATGAAGTATGAAGATGCTGTGCAGTTCATAAGGCAGTAAGTACCATGCCTGTTTTTATTTTATGGGTATGAAGAAAAACGTATCCCTCTGTTTGTAATATAATATATGGTGTATAGTGAATTTCACAATGCACTAGAATTTGGGTTTATTAGACTATTAGACCTGTTGAACCTTTAAATGTTAATAAAGTAGATGGAAATGTAGTAGATGACCAGGAGTAAAAGTTGAACTTCAGTTCTCTTTTTAAATTAAGCTGAATATCTCAGAAAAGTTTGGATTCAGTGCTTGAAAGAAGACAGAAAGTAACACATCCTACCCCTGTATGGTACAATTTATTTAAAAATCCTGGTAGTTGACTAAAGATGTTTATTATGAAGATATTTTTTTAATTCCATCAAATAGACAACTTCACCACAAGCATATTTTATGTATGTCTGTATATATGTCTATAGATAGATAGCTAACACGCATTTGTCCTTTTTAATGTGTAATTAATTTGCCATGGTTAGCCGTTGAATTTTTTTTCCCATTTCTCTTTTCCCCTTGGCTTTTTGCAGGAAGAGACGTGGAGCCTTCAACTCCAAACAGCTTCTTTACCTCGAGAAATACAGACCCAAAATGCGTCTGCGGTTCAAGGATACCAACGGCCACAACTGCTGTGTGCAGTAGGCTGCCCGTCTGTGCATCAGTCTTATGTGCATCAAGTGTGGGAATCTTCCGATGAGGAGAGATGCATTAAAAAAAAAATGAAGAGAGTGCTATTAGTAATTATTGTGATGATTTGTAAACACTGAGTCATGGTTAATTGATCAGAGAAGAAGCGAGTCATGTAATGATTGAATCCAGATCTGGGCATCCACCAGCTGAACCAATGAATGGAAGGTCAAAGCACACAGATAGGCCCGCAGATAGGTCCGGGTACACTGTACAACCACGGGCCAGATTAGTTTTTTTTTTAACTTGAGTCCATCCTGTTTTTTTTTCAATTGTAATCATGGGATATCATCATTGTGAATTTTTGTGTTTACACAAACAGTGGTGATAAATGATGTTCTCATATATATTTCCATTGAATAATGATAATATGATTAGGCCAGAATATTGTAACTTTCTAAAAGCATTTTTCAACTCATCTAAACACATTGTGATTGTCCATATTGGTATTGGGTTTTTTTATAATTTGTTTTTATTATTTCTTTTGCACAGAAAAGTCAAAGGTTCACCTGATAAATGCAGTAATGTCTCCTTTTACCCTTCACTTTGTAAGTCACTTTGAGTTTAGGGGGTTCACTAAGTTTGTCTGCAATATTTATTCACAAGGTATGGTATGTGTGAGAGTTTGGCAGGGGCAAGGACACTTTGTCATCCGATAGTTTATTTTATTATTATTTTTATCCTTAAGAGCCATTTTTTTCTTTAATTTTGTTGGAGTGCAATAATCAGTCCACCTCAAATATGCCCATCAAACCCTGCTGAGCGTCCTACAGACTTGCACATACACAACACACAAACTCAGAAAGTTCACCATGAAATGACAGTGTAATTCTACATCAGGTACTCCTTCTGCTTTCATTCATTCTCTGTAATGGGGCTACTATAGGATTTCCCTAAATATGCATATTTAGCTTACACACAGAGCCCAAGACTAAATCTGAAAGACACAGTAGAGAAAGAATGAAAATGGTCAATGTTTTTTTTATCATTGTACCCATTTTGAAAACATCCCCAATTCGTATTGGTTCTTACAAGATAAATAAATTGAAATAAAAAGCATTTCACTTTTTATTCCTGTCTCATTGTACACATTTTAGTAGCCTATGTGATGGTGTAATGTGCTTCAGAATTTTTAATTATTTTATTTCAGGTTATGGGTAACTTTGTTAGGAGAAAAAGCACCTACAAAGCGTATTTGTTAAAATTACATTTTTCAGTCTCCTTTGTTCTCTATTCATTATGGTTCTTCACAATAAAAAGTCATTTTTCAGAGCTGTCATGTCACACTGATCCTCAGTGTTTCCCAGACACTAGGTGCTTGTTACACATGTCAGTCAAAGGCTGCCCTACATGTCCTTTCCCTAGAGGAGAGTGAGTCAGCACCACGTGGAAGGTACAGGACACACTGGTACTGAGAAATGACTCACAGCCTCTACTGGTAATCACGACTCCTGGTATTACCTGTACTACGCCGAAACGGCTCCCTCTGCTGTTAGCAGATAAGTGAAAATCAAGTTCTCGCACCGGAGCGGAATGTCCTAATATGGTAAAGTGAACTGCAGACTTGTTGCTGTGTTGCAATAAAAAAAAGCTCTTATACCCTTAGACCTCAAAAGCCATGCTTCAAAAATACACGTGTCTGCACATTTTTTCAGATTATTAATACGACACCTTTAACGTTACTGAGAAGACATACAATCTGGTCATTGATACACACTGTCAAAACCAACGTAGCAGCATACATGCATTTAATGATTTATCGGCCTGGTTAAAGCCCTTACATTTTAGGGATATTGATTTTTTTATTTTTTTAATAACTCACTACGTAGTTATTCATAGTTAAGATGAATAAAAAGCATAACTATTGGGAAATTACGTTTAAAATAAAGATTACACATGAACGAAGCTGAAATAAATGACACGATAACATTTACCTTCAAACCGTTCTAACTGCTTTAACATAACTTAATGATGGGCTAAAAAACCCTTAAGTGACCCTGTGGAATTGGGATTGACATATCATCAGCAGCAGCATGTTTTGCTCACTTTTAGGGTTGCCACCCGTCCCGTAAAATACAGAATAGTCCTTTATTTGGCAATTAAATGTTGCGCCCTGTGTTGAACCAGTACAGCACGCGATTTGTTTCGTATTTCCATGAATGTCTAAAACACGTCTGTCACACATCAACACTAAATCTAACAGTAATGATCAAAATAAAATGGGAAACTAAGGTCAGCTACTGTCCTCTGTGTGTCTGAGCCTGCATGTGGCGCTATCACGGTTGCCTAGAGACAGACACCACACACCGGCGCTGCTCTGAAAACCCGCGCCTTGTAAAAAGAAATACAGACGTAGGTGGGGAGAGGAAGATCCTGCACTGGACAGCGTCAGTGGGTATAATTGTAATGCAAACTGTAAAATCTGTCGGCGAGTGTCAAGTGGTGCACGGCCTGACGTCAGCCAGAATGCACCAGGACAGCAACACTGCAGACACGTAAAAACACAGAAGAGTTCTTCATACTCCAATCCTCTGCTGAGACTGATAGTATATGTAATTTATATACAGCAATATATATATATATATATATATATATATATATATATATATATATATATATATATATGTTATATCACCCCCCAATTTTTTT